TTAATATATTCATTGTATCTTAAAAATCATTCTGTATCAATTTTAAGACAAGTTAAAGTTCCCAGCGAAAATTCCTCAAATACAGGATGTCTCAAACACCTCGTTTCTTATTATTCTTTAAATCTCACTTGTGTTGTGAATTTTTCTTTTTCTTATTCTTCTTTCCTCCTGCCTTTCGTCCGCATGCCTCTCCTCCTCTTCCTGCTCCTCCATCTCCTGCAATCTTTACTGGACGGTCAGACGGAGTTTGCACAGCAAGAGTGTCGTCTACTTGTTCTTGTTGTTCTTTCTCCCTTTCCTTCTTTAGATCAAGGCTTATTTCAGCTAGGTGTTGGATGTCTCTATTGAGGGACTGGAGGGCTACGTAAACCTCATATCTGAGAGACATTAGATTTCTCAGATTCTTCCGATTCGACTCCTCATTCTGCTGCTGTACCAGTGCCTCTAGCCTTTTGCAGCCGTTACACAGACCCGGCAAATTTGGCCCTGTTACAAAGGTAAAGGCAACTGATCGGTTAATACTGAGTTGACACTTGACCCTCCTCCACGCAAAAATTAAGGCGCATCAAGGATACACGCAATGCAGCTAGACGAAATTAATATGCATTTTCTCCATGGTTCATAGTTTTAAATAAACTAGATTCCAGGTAAAGTCAGCTACAGTGGAATCTCACTGGAGTAAAGTTTCTTCTCCTTTTAAGTTATTTCTATCTCCATGTTCTTACAGAGTTCCTTTATGTGTGTTGTTTGTTCTTTTAATCTTATTCCTATCGCTGCAATAAGTCAATAAGCACCCCACCCCTTCGATTAAAGAGCCCTCCTTTCAGAGAAGCAGTGGACTGATGGTCAGTTTACTAGGCTCCGGTGTGAAAGGTTTTGGATCGAAACCTGGTCTGGTCAATGTGGTGCGTTCTTGGGCAGGACACTAAGTCTCACAGTGCCTCTCTCTACCCAGGAGTAAGAATGAGTACTGGCAAATTGTCGGAGAAGCCTGATGAAATGCTGGGGGAGGGGGAGGTTACCTTGCGGATGGATTAGTATCCCATCCAGGTGGGAGTGGTAATATTCCTTTTAATACTTAATACCTTCTATTCCTTTTCCTACTTCTTCTCGCTCCGCCTTCTGCTCCTGCTCTTGTTTCTTATCCCCCTGTTCCTGCTTCCGCTTTACCTCACTTCGTATTTCTTCCTCCTTTTTAACGGCTATTTCCGCCGTATCTCCTCCTCCGGTTGCTTCATCCGAGGAAGCAATAGACTCTGACCATACAGAAACCTCTTCTGAATGGCCAGCCGGGGTTTTTCCTCTATTTGCGGGCAAAGAAAGAGGGTTGTCTGCTAGTTTTTGTCGTTCTTTTTCCCTCTCCTTCTGTAGATCAGGTCTCTTTGAATTAGGTCGATCCAGCTGGGCCAAGAATAAATTGCTATCTCTTTGTTCATCCAAAGCGTTCCTTAAAGTTAACTTTATTTCAGGTTCGTCTTGAATGTCTCTCCTGAGGGACTGGATGGCTCTGTTTAACTCACCTCTGATACGTATTTCATTTCTCAGACTCTTCTGATTCGACTCCTCATTCTGCTGCTGTACAAATGCCTCTAGCCCTTCATGGCAGTTACAGAGAACCGGCACATTTGGCCCTGTTACAAGGGTAAAGGCAACTGATCGGTTACTAAGTTGACACTTGACCCTCCTCCACGCAAAAATTAGGCGCATCAAGGATATACGTAATGCAACTATACAAAAGTAGTATGCATTTTCTCCATAGTTCATAGCACTGAAAATAAACTAGATTCCAGGTAAAGTCAACTACAGTGGAATCTCACTGGAGTAAAGTTTCTTCTCCTTTTCAGTTATTTCTATCTCCATGTTCTTACAGAGTTCCTTTATGTGTGTTGTTTGTTCTTTCAATTTTATTCCCATCGCTGCAATAAGTCAATAAGCACCCCACCCCCTTGATTAAAGAGCCCTCTTTCCAGAGACGCAGTGGCCTGATGGTCAGTTTACTGGGCTCCGGTGTGAGAGGTTTTGGATCGAAACCTGGTCTGGACAATGTGCTGCGTTCTTGGTCAGGACACTGTACTATCACAGTGCCTCTCTCTACTCAGGAGTAAGAATGAATACTGGAAAATTGTCGGGGCCTGATGAAATGTTGGGGGTAGGGAGGGGGAGGTTAGCTTCCGGAGGGACTAGTAGCCCATCCAGGGGAGAGTAGTAATACTCCTATTAATGATTAATACCTTCTATTCCTTTTCCTACTTTTTCTCGCTCTGCCTTCTGCTCCTGCTCTTGTTTCTTATCCCCTTGTTCTTGCTCCCACTTTACCTCATTGCGCAGTTCTTCCTCCTTTTTGATGGTTGTTGCTGCCGCATCTCCTCCTCCGGTTGCCCCATCCAAGGAAAGAGTAAGCTCCAACCATTTAGAATCCCCTTCTAAAGGGCCAGCCAGGGCTCTTTTTCTACTTGTGTGTAAATCATGAGGGTCGTCTGCTGATTTTTGTTGTTGTTTTTCCTTTTCCTTCTGTCGATCAGGTCTCTTTGGATTAGACTGATCCCGGCCAGAGGCATAACTCGCGTTGCAAACGAATGTCTCAATTTCTTCTAGTGTTCCACTTGGGTGTTGCTCGTATTTCCTGAGGGACCGGATGGCTTGGTAAGCATCACTTATGAGACCCATTAGATAACTCTGCTTCTCCTGAAGCACTTCAATCTCCTGCTGTAAACGTGGCACCTCCTCTTCACAACCTTTACAAAGAACCTTGTTTGGCCCTGTTACAGAGGTAAAGCCAAATGATCGATTAATAAGTTGGCACTTGACCTCCTGTCGCGTCAAAAGTTACATTCGACGGTACGTGTTTCTAAGATCTAAGGCGTTGGTCAAACGGCGCATGATAGGCGATGATAGTTGATTCTCTTCAAACTATCATCAACTATCACAAACTATCATTCGCATGGTCAAACGGCCAAAAAAGTTCGTGATAGTTGATGATAGTTCACCGGCAGTCGCGGGAGCAAAGTCACGCGAGCAGCTAGTTCCAGGTTCTTCCCGCGTAAAATGTGAACACTAATATGGCTTCGCGTGAGTCAAACAAACTTGTTGAAATATGAATTTATCACGACGAAGGAGGGCGGCAGCTTGCTTACTAGTAATGGATTTGTTGGAGGAATGTACGGAGGATGAATCTGGAGAGCGTTGGTGGAAGAGAGGAAGGACAAGGGAATAGATTAAAAAGAGAAACGAAAGGGGGATGTTGAAATTGGTGGAGGATTGCGAGTGGAGGACACTGCCGCTTACAAGGAAATGCTGCGAATGAACTTTGAAACATTTCAGGAAAAATTGACCGCTATCGGGCCTGAGATTAAACCGGGCCATTTTAAACGAGCCCGTCGATTTTCGGGGAAAACAGCCGACCAAAAACTAACGTTACTCTATATCTATTTGCCTTATCAATGAAGATCGCGGATTACATTGAGTTCTCCGCTTGTTTGAAATTAAACTATACTAGTGGGTCTCGCTTATTTCACCAATAATATTGAGTTCAGAGCAGCATCGTATTTTGCATCTTTTTTACTACATTGCAACCACGTGGCTAATTATCGCTGCAACATTCGTTAAGGAAACCACTAACAAAAGAAACACTTCGTTTTCTGTTTTGTAAAGGGCTGATCGAACGAGTAAAATTATCGCTCGAAATTTGTAAGTTAAAAGAGAAGAAGAAATACCTTTCAAAAACAATCAATTAGCGTCAAGGAATGCACATGCCATTGTAGGGACAAAAAAAGAGAGATTGGAACAGATTTCATACAATAGCTTCTCACAACGCTTAATAGGACTGTAGGTTAACGGGCATGATGGTTTTTTTTTGTTCGTTTAACCTACTTCAAACCGCGGCCGATCGACGAATTCAGAATTAGTTTTTTGTCTTTTGCTATTCGTTTAGTTTGCCAAAAACTTTTGCTGCCGAAACTTATGTTCAAAACTACATTTACGTTCTAGTGTTTCCTGTAAAATTTATTCAACCTTTTTTTTGGCTTGAATATGCATCATTTTCTTTAGTGTAGTATTTTTCCCCGTATTTTTTTTCGAAACTGGACAAGCGCACTCTCGCCTAACTCCACAACCTCTTTAGTACATCGCTACACAGATGCTAACAACATTTTGGAAATCATAATTATCACTTCGCACAGACAGCGTCACGCGTTTAAGTAAAAGACTCAAAACGGCTGCGTGTCTCTCGCTAATCTAGATTGCCATATGAGTAAAACAACACATATTAATTGGAATGCGAATGTGATTGGCGGATGGACTGCTTCATTTTTCGTCAATCATTATATAGAGTTGTAATTAGACATTGCAGTCTCATTAAGGAGTAAATTTCTAAAGAAACTGAGGTGCGTCGGTGGGGGAGTACAAAATAATTTTCCTTTTATAAACTGAGATGATAAAGTAAATTGGACCATCGTAAGGAGTTTTAAAGCTGACGCTTCGAGCCAACATCGTTCCCAGTACCTTTTCCCTTAGTTGGGGGTGGAGCTGGGGGTGGAGCTGGGGATGGAGCTGGGGGCGGGGCGCGAGCTAAAGGAAAAGGCCCTGGAAACGAGTTTGGTTTCGAGCGTAAGCCGTTCGTCAAACATCAGCTTTTAAAGCTAGTGCACCTGACCCCTAAATTTTTTTTCTCTTAAAAAAATGTTTCCGCTTTGGTGAGAGTTTCTTCGAAAAAATTGTTGGATTTGGTTAAATCCTCATTATTTTATGCCCTGTTGAAGTCGAGATCAGAATGGACCACGACCGCGTAAATGGGGATCTGGGCAGAGTAGACTTGTGACGTCACTTCGAGAATTCTCGGCCAGTCGTCGACCTGCGAAAGCCTTTCTAGCACTAGATTCATTCTGCGGCATATTTGCGACCAATATCGATCTAACCTTCCAAACATAACCAGTAAACTGTGCAAAATGGCGCGAAA